TTGTTTTTTTTTTGTCCCACTTTTTGTTAGTTGATCAAACTTTGCCAAGCGCTCTGCAGAACTGGCATCAGAAATAGCAGCAGATGAGTCTGAATGGAGCAGACTGGTTCTAGCAGCAGACATGCTGCTCTCGCTCACGTTCATTACCACAAAACTGATCAGTTCACCGTTCACTAAAAGTATGAATGGATTCATTGAACGCCGTTTTTGACCGTTTGAACGCGTTCATGCACAACACACCAAACCCCTCTCTCCTCAGTGATGTGAATGCGTTTATCCCGGTTTCAGGTTTCTTCTGGAGGCTACACATCCATCAACAACGTGCGTGACCCGGATTATCCAAGCCCTAGAGACAAGATGGAGAGCTTCTTCCTGGGAGAGACCCTGAAATATTTGTACCTGCTGTTCTCTGAAGACCCCGACCTTATCAGCCTCGACAAATACGTGTTCAACACCGAGGCTCACCCGCTGCCCATATGGCCATCCCCTGAGTAGCATCCACTGTGACCCACAACATCTCAGGGTTGGTGTGACATCAGAGTCACGTCTTTAGGAGCAAAATGACTGCAGAACAGACTCCTTTGTTGGTTTTAAAAGACTCATTTATGGCGGATCCTTTCTTATTTATTAGAGTGGTTGGTTCTGATTGTGTGGACCGATATTCTCACTGGTGCAGGATGAACTGAAGCAACAAGCTGCAACATCCTACATCTGACTCACTGATTGTTTTTGTTTGTATGATGGTTTTAAGACTTTTTCTCTATAGATATGAAGCAAAGCCGACTGAACTTCTGCTGGCCGGTTGTCTCCACATTCCTAGAAGGCAGAACCTGACCTTTGAACCCTTCTGTTGGAACAGGGGAACCGCCAGGCAAACTGAACCATTTCTCTGAAGCTCTCTGTGAGCAAAAGGGCACACAGTCATGCTGCATTCATGTCTCCCAGGAAATGCAGAACTCCTTCCTATGTTTGAGCCCTCAGTTTGGAGAACATATATAAACAACAATCATTTCCTGATATCAGGTCAGCTTCTATCTACTTTCATCTTCATGCATAATGCATTTAAACTACTCTGCTTTACATCCATGCCACATTTCCATGGTAGTCTTTATCCGGCAGCATTTCTGTTGGTTCTGGTCCATTTACACTCCAGTTGACTGACGTAATGTCCGAGGTCATGGCCTCTGATCAAACCACTGTTGTAATCAGCACAGTTCTGCTGATGGACGGCATTGATGACTGCTATCTGGTTGGAGGAAACTCCTCCTGGTAGCTCTGCCTCATCCCGAACGGCTGTTTACGGAGTAGTTCTGGTTCAAGTTGGACCTCCTGACCTTATGGTTTTTTTTCCATTGACATGAATGCAGCATCTGTCTCGTTCACATGCTAATCTTCCAGCTAACAGGCTGCCACAGCAAAGCTAACAAACTGCGATTAAGTTGGGATGTTTTGTATATTTTGTCTCGTTATTAATATAAGAAAACATGGGATCTTTGAGGTGATGTTTTTTTGTGTAAATATTTAGAGTTTGTGATTAATTTTAGTAGTGAACTTCGTGGATGTAACATGCTTGTCTGTTTGCTCCTCAGACCAAACTTCGTCTGTCCTCCAGGTGTTTCCGTTCTCACATGTGCCTTTAATCTTTCCTCAGACGACATTCAGCGTGCGTCTGATAGATCGTTTCCATTAGATTAGTGATGTAAGCGGTTTCCTCGTTTTCAGGTTTACATGATGCTAATCCTGCATAAAGCAGCTCCCATCATTTCAGCAGATGTCTGAAATCTTTGTGTCTCAATGTTTTTTTTTTTTTAAATCATTTGACTGAGATTGAAACAATGAAAGCCATTCTTCTAACGGTGCCACTTGGGAAAAATCTATTTTAGCATTTTTGATACAAATTTCAGCAGATAAAGGTTTTTCTACTTTAGCGTGAGGCGGATCTCTGAGCGATGGAAACGGAACCGGGTCAAGCAGTGGTTCTGCTGTAGGAATACGGGCTGAGATCCAGCAGATCTCAGGCAGAGTCCAAATTCCAGCCATATTGTGCCAAAATGTCCTTTTTCCACCTTTTTAACAGGAAGTTAAATAAGAAAAAGCAACCAACAGCCTGACACCACAGCACAGTAAGGATTGGCAGGGTGCCCACCCAGTCCACCTTACAATGTCGATCCCTGCTGTCAATGTGCCCTTAAGCAAGACGCTGAGAAAACAGCTAAGAGCAGCTAAAGCCTTTAAATGTAGGACATCAGCTGGTCAGAGAACAGGAAGTGACCCAGTTAAGGACCAGAAATGTTTCTGGTTCTGATGCAGAACCTAAAGGTTCTTCTGGATGTGAAGGATTTAAAGAGACTGAAACTATTCGTTAAATTATTGCCTGAAATATTTTCCCCTCAAACACATTTTGCAAATCTCGGGTATTCTGGACTCTGATCAGTTTGTGAAAAAAAAGAAACTATTTTTCAAAGAGTTGATGGTTTGTTCAGGTTGTCTGTCCTTTGAATATTTAACTATAAAATGTTTTTGTATCATCATACATGCTGGATCATCTTTACTATAATAAAATATTGATCTAATTCAGCTGTGTGTCAATTTTTCACGTTTTATTTCACGTCCTTTCTGAAGGTTTGGGCTTCCTGTCACCCAAACCCACCCAGTCCTAGGGGTGGAAGGCCGGCCGCCTATCAGCTCAGTGTTTGTCTTTGGTTGTGGATTGAGCTGAAACAATCAGATAAAATGATTATTGAAATAATTGCCAACTAATTTAGTGATCTATTAACCAAAAAATTGGGAGTATAGAGACTGTCAAACATGCCTTTAGCTGACAGAGCGACCCACTTAGTGCAGTAATTATACCAACATTGTAAAAAAGCATGAAGACTGGCCGCTGTCCATATGCTCTACTCAGAACTCAAGTGGAAATGTTTTAGTTTCACTGGTTTTAATAAAAGAATCTTCTTTAAAGAACCTTTCGATATCTGATTTTTTAATTAAAAAAAAATAAATTAATTTTTCTGTCATGCTTAATCCAAGTTGATGTCTCAAGGGGTGCTGGTGCCCATCTCCTGCTGTCTACGGGCGAGAGGCGGGGTCCACCCTGGACAGGTCACCAGTCCATTGCAGGGCAACAGACAAGGAACCATTCATGCACACTCACACCTAAGGAGAATTTAGAGCAGGGGTCACCAACCTTTTTAAGGCTGAGGGCTACTTGATGGCTACCAGTCAGAGGAAGGGCTACCAATACTGACCTATTAACTGGAGGGATCAGTGATCACCTACAGTAAATCTCATCCATAAAAACTCATTTTTATTCTTATTTTAATCTTTTATTCATTTCTAATTTTCTTTTTAATATTGTAATTTTGAAACCACTGAAATATGATGAAATAGTTAACATGATGAAATAATACATAAATGATTAAAAAGACGAGCAACAGAATAAAAAAAAAAATTAAACTTAACCCACTGAGTGAGTTCTTCTGTTTTCAGAAGACGAAGAGGGCACCCCATGTGGTCCTTGAGGGCCTCTTGGTGCCCGCGGGCACCGCGTTGGTGACCCCTGATTTACAGAAACCAATTAACCTGAAATTCATGTTTTTGGACCGTGGAAGGAAGGCGGAGTACCTGGAGAGAACCTACGCATGCACAGGGAAACATGCAAACTCCATGCAGAAAGACCATGGGCTGGAAATCGAACCTGGAACCTTCTTGCTGCTAGGAGGCAGTGCTACACACTGCTTCACTGAGCAGAAAAAAATAAACGATTTGCTAAATAATCGTTAGTTGCAGCCCTAGTTGTGGAAACATAGCAGCAGTGGATGGAAAACGGTTTATTTGAATTAAAATCAAATGTCTGGTTTCTTTCTCAGCCTTTTTAATCAGCAGAAATTGTATTTTTTTTTTTTTTTTTTACAAACATCTTAGTGGATGATCTCCACAGAGTTCTGATAAAGGTGCTCTGATTCTTCTTGCTGCAGAGAGTCGATGCTGCGATGATCAGTGGACAGAAGGAGCTGAAACTCCTACTCATATAATCAGACCAGAAGTCAAACTTCATTAAAGTGATAGATTATATACAGCGGGATGCTTTAAATGTGATTTTCTTTGAATGCGATAAACTGTTGGGACATGTCAGAAGAAACCCTTCTGCTGTGTAGATGATGCTTGTAATCTGGTCCTCTCCGTCTTCACCCACTGAGCAATGAGCTCTGCTTCCGTCTTCCTGGCACTGATGACTGACGCTGGATCCGCCTCATTGGATCCCCTGCAGCAGAGAAACAACCGTCTGACTTCAGGATCCGTTCAGATAGAACCCGGCCAGAAATAAAGGACGGCTTAAGTACCTCAGGTCCAGGTGATGAGCTCCTCCGGAAATGTTCAGCGCCACCAGCGACGGACTCAGGCTCTTCCTCACCTGAACATTGATCAGCAGGTTAACTCTATCCTGACCACTCAGTGTTTCCTGTCTGAGTCACACTCACCCCCCCGTTGGCCCACGGGTCCAGGTCCCCATTGGAGAAGATGATGTTGCTCGCTGTGGAGAGAGCTGAACATACGAGTTCATGAAAGCCCAGCAGATATTAAACCAGATTCAATATGAAGATGGAAATTCAGCCTCATGGCTCCTTTTCTGAGCAACTTTAGAGGATTTCCTCTCCTGGTGGTTTACGTGTATCCTACGCTACCAGAACCAAGACCAGAGGAGCAATATTTGATTGCCGACCTTTCAGGGTCTGAATCTTACCGTCACCCCAGAACTGGACTTTGAGCCAGCCGGGTCTTGGAACTACGGCCCAGCGCTTGGAGCAGTAGAGCTCCCGGTCTTTCTGAGTGAAGGCCATCGGAGGAAACATGTCCGTCACGTTGTTGCTCTCGTAGCACAGCTCCACTTCAGTGCAGGCCTGCAGGGGTCAAAGTAGAAAGCGCCACCAATCAAATATGCTGACTCAGGACAGAAGCAGAGCATATATCTCCCTCCTGCTGTACCTGGTAGTCCCAGGCCATGCTGTTGAAGCCCAGTCCACATCCAGTGGGGTCGGCACACTCCACATACAGACTGTACAGGTCGAAACAGGTCAGGTCCCCGGTCGAGTTGTAGAGGATCCCTGCAGGGTGGAAGCTGTTACTGTTAATGAACGTGAGGTCAGGCTCGGTTTCCAGACATTCATTAGAGGAGCCAAGTCAAGTCCTCAAGACTTGCACCAATAATCCAGAATCTAGCGGTTGATTTTCTCTCAGCAGAGGCCAGGAAGTGAAGCACATGTTTGGTTCAGGGGTGATGGAGGACTGAACCACTTAAAGGAAAAGTTCAGTCATATTCAGAATTCAAACTTCTGACAGTACTTTAAATTATTACATACTGTTCAATAAATGATTTGTGTTTTTCCATTTAGAGTAATATTCATTTGAATGTGCTTTACTGGAGGCATCCATGTTTGTCAAAGAACACTACTGCCACCTACTGGTTTGTGACGTCACGGTGCGGTATCGGCTGTTGATCAAGTCCCAGTGCTGTATCTGGTGTTTGTCACAACGCGCTATTATCCAAGTCATCTTGAAAACATTCTTCTTCCAAATGTTGGCTACATATTACGGGTTTTTTCTCTGGCCAGAAGTTCGATAGCAAATCCTCCCTCTTCAAGTTGGCAATCCAACGACGAACCCGTCTGTGGAGGATTTTTTTCACGTTTACACTATGTATTCCAACATCCAACTAACATGCACGTGGGCATTGTCAGTTTCACTATAGCTGTGGTGAATTTCAATGGTGAACTTCTCTGGAAATCTTCAATAATTGTTGTCTAGTAGTTCACATCAGCTAGGATATTGGCGCTAGGCTTACCGCAGCGTGACATCACTGCAGGAAGATGTTAGGAGGGAGGTGTTACTATATTTGGACAAAAATGGCCGCTCCCAGACTCACAATGAAAATTATTGTTTTTATTTTTTTACTGATTAATGCTAAATTCATTAAATCACCACTAACGTATTGGTTTTAGGTATAGGTAATGATCTATTGATTATTTATTGCTGAACTGACTTTTCCTTTAAAGGCAATGAGGCTTTAGGGCCTTGATTCTGAACAGAAGACTGGCCGCTACCCTCTAGTTCTGCACACATCAATTACAGCCACATGTTTCCAGACGATACCACATTGCTGTGTGGTTTATAGTAAAGGTAGACCAGACTATTCGTCCTTTGACCCATCAGAACATGTTTGCACTTTCTGTCCCTTGTTGCTTTTGTGAGGCTCAAAGAGGATCCTTACTTTATCAGTTTTCTATCCTCCTAAAGTCTTATCATGGGTAAAGTTTTCTATTTTTAATGTTTCGTCCATTGTTTTTGCACCAGTCTGTCCCACTTGCTTTATACTCAATGTGCGACTTCAAAACTGACTCTATTCCCAAGCGATTAACAGATATTATTTAGTATTTTCCCCCATAGCGGATGTGTTTTACTTTGTAACCACGTCCCTTTTCCTGTCAGACCTATGAAATTGCCGCTGAATTGCAGATTAGTCCGGCTAAAACAGACCTGGGCTCTAGCTCAGTCAGACCTACTCAGCCCCCTTACATAGAATCGTTTCGGTTGGGATCATCCCCATCGACTTCCGATGAGCACTAAACGCCACAACCTCGTCCGACATGATTTTCTCTCAGATCTGATGCAACATTGGATTCGGTGTGTTTTGGCATTCAGAGCTTATTAGTGTAACCAGACCTGCAGTATCTCTGAGGTTAGCCAGCAGGTCCGATCCCCTCAGCATGGTTCCACAGGCCACCTGGAAAGAAAAATCACAGCAGCTTCAGATGAGAGGGAACACTTGGACCTGGGTCCGCTTCCTCCAACTTAATGATTAGTTTAGAAAAAAGCCTCTAAACCTGACAGCTGGTGTTGTCAGATGAGCATACCCGGTCAGACCAGCATACCCACTGCCAATACCATTGATCCCTTTAGTTTATCCCTTTATTTTTATACAAAAAATAATCCCTTGTATCCGTGTATCCCTTTAGTCATGTAAAAAATACCAATATAATTATTTACTTTGTGTTTTTTTTTTTAAGCAGATGTTGATCTGAGTTTAAATTATAATTTTTGTACATGACTAAAGGGATACACGCCCACTGAGGTAGTTTAAAGTCTATTTTTTGTACAAAACTAAAGAGATAAATGCAAATCTGACGTCTTGAGCAATGCATATTGACTATGGGTATGCTGGTCTGATGGGGTATGCTCATCTGACAAAACACCATCACCTTCATGAAGATCTGTCCCTCGGAGCAGCGTGTTCTAACTGTGTGAAGTTGGCCCCCCCCGCCTTCTTCAAATCAGACAAAATTAGTGTCAAACGTTTGTGCAGCAAAAATGTTCACCTTATTCTAATTTGAATAAGGTGGGGGGGGCTGGTTGACCTTTTGACCTTTACTTTTTCATTAATATATTCAAAGCTAAAGCATCACAAACGCTAATTTTTGCTGCACAAACGGAGCTGAGTTAATTGACACCCATTTCGTCTGATTTGAAGAAGGTGGGGGGGCTGGTTGACCTTTGATGACCTCTAGAATTATTCCTTTATATCTTTAAAACCATAGCGGCACAAATGAACATTTTTGCCGCACAAACGTTTGACACTAATTCTGTCTGCTTTGAAGAAGGCGGGGGGGGGGGCAACTTCACTCAGGTGCAGGACCTCCATGTGTTCTTTACCTTGACGGGGTTGGCAGGCATGTTTCCCATGAAGTGAGTGCTGTAAGGATAATCCAGCATGGCCATCATGGTGAAGGCGTTCCTCAGCAGCCCATAGAGCTGATGGATGTCTCCAGGAGAGGAAGGAGGCTTACAGAGAGCAAACTCTGACTGGATGTGATTGTAATCTGGTGAATAGAAGAACATTTCTTTATTCCAAATAAAAGCGTCTTTTACCTCCTAATTGTGCTTTTTTCTTCTTTTTGCATGTCGGAGCTTTACCTTTGCGTTCAGCTAGCTGCTTCAGCTGCTGGAAAGCTCCTCTCACAGCATCTCGACAATCAGGGCTGACCTTCTCAAAGTCCTGTGAGGGACAACAGATCAACATCTCTGAGCTAAAGGTCCTCACTCTTTTTCAAGAGAAAGTAATATTTTTACTTTATTAATAATTAATATATTAACTGTATTAATAAAAATTTATACAGTTAATAAAAAAAGCTAGTTAAAACCTAATATTCTGGATCCATCATCCAGCCTAATATATCAATATAAAATATCACATTCATCCAATAAGACAAACACACTTCTAAAGTCCTGATGTCAGACGGCATCTGATTTATATCAGCTGATCTATATAAAGCTGATGATACTCAGCTTTATCTGTGGATAAATCCTGATAATACTGATCTGTTATAAAATCTGGAAGATATAAAAACCTGAATGACCTTCGATTTCCTGCCTTTAAAATGTAAAAAAGAAGCAGATTAGTCAGTAAATTCATTAGGATGCCGTTAAATTGTAACCTGACTCCGCCAGATGGATTTGCTCCACATATCCATCTGGAAACCTTCGGTTGAAGTAATTTTGGAAAGGGGCGAAAATACTGGTTAGCTGATTGGCCTATGTTGGTGATAGACGGGCCAAATAAACCAATCAGATCAACGAAGCATATGACGTACTAACAGAGCGACGACGAAAAC